CTTATATTAACAGACATATGTTACGACATGGCAATGCCCCACCATTGGACGATGATTAACTGAAATTAAATATCAAAGCGCTGAAGTAACCAACTGACATACTGGATGACCCACTGACTCAGTCCAAATTTCATTATTGTGTGAGCCGCCATGACAAGTCCCTAAACTATCAAAGTCATGATTGTTTAATATGCGCGATGTCGCCAAATTTTCACTTTGTTGTTATTTGTATTCGGGTTTTTTCGTCAACTGGTTAGCTCGCCTGAACCCAGAGCACCAGCTTCTTTGTAAAAGCTATCGTTGAAATCTATGGCGGTTCCATAACACTCGCGAGAGAGGTCCAGTTGGTCCATGATTAAAATGTCTGAAACACAAGAAAGTTGAATTCCAGCTTGTTTTGATCTAACATGTTTTCAAGATGACGTGGGCGTTAAACTCACACATATTCAGTGTCCTGGACAAGTAATTCTCTGTTGACTGATTTGAAAAAGATGACCCTCAAACCCCAAACATTTCCAGATGATTTTGCAAAATATTTCCAGATGACGGTTGGTCTCCAGGGAGACTACGATGACGTGTCAACCGTCCTTGTGTTTATGGAGCATATCCAGAACGCTTCCACCGCCTTCATCGCCGACATGGGCAACTTTCAGGCGGCACTTCATGCCACACTTTGTAGGATCAAGATTGCCGCCGACTCCCTTGGTTACACCCTCCAGTTCCACATTACCCGAGATGCCATGGCCTTGAAGTACAGGAACATTCGATCAACCGCCAACATGTTTCAACGAGACTACATCGTGTTTAAGGACTCTGAAGTCTACCTCCAGGCTGTGTCTGGTTTCTATAGCAACTGACTCCAGGTCGACACGCCTCTCCTAAGACAAGTACCAACACAAACAGTTTTGTTTTGACACATTGCGACTCTTCTAATCAGCTACGCTGTAGTGATATGGCCAAATGACTCTCACGTTGCATCTAACAGTTAGATTGTAGGACACCACCTAAAGATTTGTGAAAAGTGCGAAATAGATTCATTGTATCGCTCTATGGGCCGAGGTATTTGTGTACAGATTCATTTTATGGCTCTATGGGCCGAAGTAACTGTGTACAGATTCATTGTATGGCTCTATGGGCCGAGGTATTTGTGTACAGATTCATTGTATGGCTCTATGGGCCGAAGCCGAGGTGTACAGATTCAGTGTATGGCTCTATGAGCCGAGGTATTTGTGTACAGATTCATTGTATGGCTCTATTGGAGCCGAGGTATCTGTGTATGGCTCTATGAGCCGAGGTATTTGTGTACAGATTCATTGTATGGCTCTATTGGAGCCGAGTTATCTGTGTATGGCTCTATGAGCCGAGGTATTTGTGTACAGATTCATTGTATGGCTCTATTGGAGCCGAGGTATCTGTGTATGGCTCTATGAGCCGAGGTATTTGTGTACAGATTCATTGTATGGATCTATTGGAGCCGAGTTATCTGTGAAGTAGATGTGTTGTATGGCTCTATGGGCCGAAGCATTTCAGATTCGGTGTTTTGTTCTATGAACAGATGAGATGTACTTCTGAAACATGTTCTATATAATTGTTGCACAGCACTATACGTCACTAATGATATTTACATTTTGTAGGAAAATGTCACAATATCAACACTGCCACAGGGCATCACGTGGGCTCAATATCACCAGGGATTTCTTTAGTTTAAACTCAAATGCTCTTACACAATATAAAGTTTATTACGTGACTTGATGAATAAAGTTATCAGAATGATCATGAAGATTAGCGTGTAGTTCATGGAGAATTGATAGGCTATGCTTGAATGATGTCACACACATTTTCTGTCTGAACCACGTATCGATAACGGCTTGCAATTCCTCAAATTCTTTTATTTGGTGTCTAAAAAAACAAGGGGTGGGGAGGGGAAGAGAAGTGACGTAGCCTAATGGTTTAAGCGTTGGCTCTTCACGCTGAATACCCGGGTTCGATTCCCCACATGGGTGAGTACAATAAGTGAAGCGGTGTCCCCCGCCGTGATATTGCTGGAATATTGCTAAAAGCGATCAAATATATTGTAAAACTAAACTCGCTCACTTTTAAAATGACATAGGGTACAGAATGAAATTCTCGGATTATATTATGAGCGCTCTGTGGCCTCCCAGGACATCTCAACAGAGTCATCAGCACTGATAGTTACCCGCAAAAGAAACTTGGAGCACATCACGCCAGCCATTAAAGATCTGCAGTTGTACATTGGTATTGCGTTGAAAGTGCTTGTGCTTGGGTTCAAGGCACTCCACTGCCTGGCATTTACTTTGCCTGTCTGACTTCATGTAGAAACACCGGCTCCAACGATTACTGAGATTTTGTAATTAAATAAGAGGCCATTATGGTGCCATCCAGGACTAAGATTTCTGGTTGTCCAGACAACAGGCCTGTATCTGTGGAATAATATAAATTCAGGAACTACGTAAACTGAAAACACTTTTTGAGAAGATCTCTGAAGTGTAGAGACTCAATGGATTGGTTTGCCATGAAAATCAAGAATGACACCCCATGCACATGTATGGGTGCTACTGCGTTGTGCACGTGCATCCCATGCGTTGTGTTTAGGGGTGGTGACAAAGAGAAAAGGTGGTGCGTTCATAAGATGTCTGTCTTTGAAACGTTTGTTAACGCTTATACGTCCTATCAAAATGGAATGGTCGAGGGATTGTCTTGTGCAAATTCTCAAAATTGTGCAGATGTTAGTGAGGAATTTAACATAGCAGATTAAACTGACCAATAAGAGAGCGAAAGATAGCTTGCCCTCTAAAAGAAAGACAAAAGCCACTGAGGTTCGAATCCCTGTTTGGACAATAATTTTTAAATATAAAAATATACATATTTGCAACCGTATATTGTTTTTATGTGTTATGGGTAACTTATGTTTCAAATTGGAAAGGAATCGGTGAAGAAATGGATTTTTTTAGTAAATTCTCCCGCTGCACTCATTACATAAAATACACTTGTGTATTTGAAAGATAAGTTACTCATAACATATAAAAACAATATACGGTTGCAAAAAATATAGATTTTTATTCTTTAAAATTATTGTCCAGTGATTCGAATCCCTGTGATAAAAGCAATGTACTGCAGCCACAGGGACACAATAGGGCCAGCCTGTAGCGATGAAGCCGGAGACTGTTACCTGATATAATCTAATAAAAACACAACTTAACTGTCTAAACAAACCAATACCATATTTACACAAATAAAACAGAGAATATGACAATGTTGTATTTACAAAAATAAAACGTGGAAAATATGACATTGTCACCCAGTGCAGTGTGCGAAACAGTTTCCAAGTTTTTGCTAGCCAGTCGGGCTAGCTATGCCTGAAAGTTACTAGCCCATAAAATAATTCACCAGTCCGAAAAATGAATGTAGACACGGGTTTCATCATTAAGCTGCTAGCTAAATGTTAAACATTTTTATGAGGCCATAATCTTGCATGTTTTAAAAGTGTGTTATAACTTAACAAGTCGGAGAGAGTGGTATATTTACAAAATGGGTCGACCCATGAAAATTCATTAGCCAGTCGGGCCAGTGACTGTGGAGATTTACTGGCCCGAGACCCGTGAAGATCCGGGGTAGAATAGGTCTTCAGCAACCCATGTGCTTGCCATAAAAAGCGACTATCTTGTCGTAAGAGGCGACTAACGGGATCGGGTGGTCAGTTTCGCTGACTTGGTTGACATATGTCATCGGTTCCCAATTGCGCAGATCGATGCTCATGCTGTTGATCACTGGATTGTCTGGTCCAGACTCGATTATTTACAGACCGCCGCCATATAGCTGGAATATTGCTGAGTGCGGCGTAAAACTAAACTCACTCACTCACTGGCCCGACTGGATTTTTACTCGCCACGGGCTTGCGGGCCTGGCTAGCTATTCTCGAAACGTTCGTAGCTCTAAGAACTTCTTAAGACCATTCTTAACACATTGGCTACGATCAAAGTTAACAATTCTTAGGGCTACGAACGTTTCGAGAATAAGGGCCCAGAGGGGCTATTTCGCACACTGCTGTCACGTGATAGCTAATTGGTTGTCTGCGCACTGACTCCTTGCTCATGCTTCCGGTCATTATTATTTCCTGGTCAGTTACGGAGTATCGATAAGCCACTGTGTTGAAGTGTAATTATTTCTGCATATTTTGTTTCCTCATCCGGTGTATTTTGGGTTTTTACGATGATGGACCAGCGTACCAAAATCATTCACCACTGGGTGCGAGACTTTTCAAGTCACATCCTCATGTGTATTTTGTGATGGCCGGCTTCCTACTTGCGTCCGACCAGACACTGAAGTATGTCCACCTTGTCACATAAGTAACAGCAGCATCCGGCAGTGACGATGTACATTCAGTTGGACAGTTCGCTTGCAGTCCTTGCTGCAGCTTCTTCCGTGTTGTAGCACTTTGAGTGGTTGGAAACAACATACAGTGGGCGAATTGTTTCATTTGGTCAGTACATAAATATCGAGAATACAGAAGAAAGCCTGCCCTGACACGGTGGTTTATATAAACCTCCTACCAATCATACGTTATTTCTGAACAACAGGGGCGGTGAGGTAGCCTAGTGGTTAAAGCCTTTCCCATCACGCCGAGGGCCCGGGTTCGATTCCCCACATGGGTACAATGTGTAAAGTCCATTTCTGGTGTCCCCCGTCGTGATATTGCTGGAATATTGATACAAGCGGCGTACAACTAAACTCACTCACTCACTGAACAACAGTTCATGTCGATATTTTCCTTCAACTGTCACTTGCCCGTGCATACGTTTCACTCTTCATGTCCCAATGAATCCAGTGAAATATTATGCTATTCGGTTTGTAGACAATGATTCTGCGCTCGAAGACGTAAAATGATGCTTATAGAGGGTGATCCCTTCACATAGCAATTTAAGTTAAAAGTAACGAAAACGTGCCCAAAAAATTATGCACAAAAAAGAAGAACGCCAACATTAATTGACCATGCTTTATTATGTGTACTAAGAGAAGAAGGTTTTGGCATTTTGTTTGTAAAGTACTTCGGCTCACAGACATGAAATATATATGTTTCACAAACACTTTAACCCATAAAATCATTGAACATATCGATTAGGAGCGGTTCTGACCAGACAATCCAGTGATGAGCAGCATCAACATAGATCTACGTAATTACGATGACGTGTGCACAACAGCTGTGAAAATTCTACTAATTGAACATAAGAGGTTTTAACACCATCTAAGTACCAGCTGCCTATAATGCTACAGGAGATTAACATTTTTTAAAGAAGTAAAAAGTTATCAAAGAAGTAAATCAGTCGGGAACAGGTCAAAACGGCCAAAGGACAAAAGGGCCAGAGGACAAAAGGGCCAAAACTGGAAAGTCAAAAGGGCCAAAGAAAAGTCAAAGGGCCACACATTAAAGTCAAAAGGGCCAAACGTTTAAAAAATAGTAACATTAGAAGAAAATCATTACATGTTGTTGCAGTGGTTCTAATCCTAAACAGCTCAGAGTGTCTCAGTGTTCCTTATTTAAAACATCTCAGAGCGGTTAAGTGTTTATTTTATGAGCATGCTCATGACCAGACTTTTGACTTTGACTTTTTCAATTTTGGTCCTTTTGTCCTTTGGCCCTTTTACTACAACCCAAAAAGTCGATATTGTTTTTACGCAATGATTCAACTCTGTGAAGCAAATCAACAACAACATAGACAATCTGAAGGCCTCAAAAACATTTTAATACTCGAAAAGGTAAACAAATGCTTGGTATATACACCATCGCAAAATGCTGATTCAGTTTAGATTCTGTTCATCACCCAATATCATTCTTAACATTTGAAGTCTGTAAACCCTCTTGAGTATGAGCTGTAGTACTAGCCAGCTAGCAGACGAAGTGATATTATTACCTAGCAACGTCACTGAAACCCATTATAAGTGATCGCCTACCAATCCAATCTTCACTCTGGCAAGCAGTGGCTGCTGGAAGGACATTTGTCATGGCTCTTGTTATAAACAAACAATATGTGTCACTGTTAATCTACAAGGAGTTGATGTTCTGAGGTGTTTAGGACATTTTGTACTTCAATACTAACAAAACGAAAACACCTGTAAATGGAATCTGTCTATTTTATATGAACGTCTGAATATTCTGGAGTGTGGCCTTACATATCATTATTAATATCACAGTCTTACATTTCACTTAAATTGAATATCACAGTCTGAAATTTTACATCAAAATTGGATATCACACAGTTATATATTTAACATTTACATTACAGTTCACACAGGTAACTGGTTGTATGAAGAGATCAAACTTACGTTTTAGATCTGTTCCAGTTAATTTAGAAAGTTGAGACATATCTTTCATATTTACAATGTCAGTGAGTGAGTTGTCAGATCTGTGATTTTTGTTGACCAGCGTCATGACATCATATTGAGGGGAGCATTATGACTATCCCATAGCTACTATCCCATAGTTACATAGTCTTAGTAACAACCTGAATATATTTACCCTAATAATAGTGTGGACATGTGCTCTAAGTGCTACATTATTACCCCCATCAATGGATCACTGTGCTGTCGATTTCATTCTCAGCTCCCTGGGTGGTATATAACCCAAGAAGGTTAAGTCACATAAAAATCTTATCCTGCCGGGTACCCAGTCACTGCTTGGTGAACAGAGGCACATTTCTAACATTCACTTGACTGAGGAGACATCAGGACAGAGCAGAACCCTGAAACTCGAGGAAGTCAGAATTTTCGCATCCACCCTAACCAAAATTCCTTAACTTCAACCAATTTGTGACATGTGTGCTGTGCGCAGGACCACTTGCCAGTATGTGCTTGTTCCCACAAACGGATTGCTGGGACATACATTATAACAATCAATGCATCACTCCCTCACTGACAGTGCTACTTGGTTCTTCTCTAGCAGGTCTGTAGACATATACTTATCTATACATTATCTATACATTATTCTTCATAGATGGTACAGTTACATATTCTACCAATACATATTTCATCCTGATATACATATTCTAATCTAAACTTTGAGCTGTTTATTGGGCATTACAGAATGCATCAAACAACATTTTCCATCATTCTTAATACTTGATCATCTGTAGGTCTTATTGTAAGTGTAAATGACTTCACAACGCATGTATATGTAAACAACTCTCCAAATCTTTCAGGGACATTGTAGATGCTTTAGGTATCTGTGAAGATTGGTTTGAGACTAAATAAGTTGAAAAAAATCAACAAAATGAATAAGGGTATCGTCCCTTTGAGGAATGAAGCTATTGATCAAATGCCTGGTTTGTCCATGGATTAGAGCCTTTGTATAAATAAATGGGGAAAAACACATTGATGACATTTTACGGCATGAAAATGCAACATTAGACCAAAGTGACTTTACTTTCAGAAGGAAACAGAATAACCTTGCCTTGATGAATGAGACAACTGAACAGTTGCCTCTCTGCTCTGTGAAATAGAGTTTGCTGGCTTCGCAGATATATCGGAATAACAATCCTTTGTGGAATGAATCAGAATGATGTCATTTTATAGAATAAGAAGCAATTCTGATCTTTCCCAAATAACTCATACTGACCACCATTTCATGGATTAAGCTGAGTGACAACCTTGTTGGATCAATCACACTGAGTTTGCTCCCTTTCATGAATAAATCAGTGACCTCCCCTACATGAAATTAAAGAAACAGACTGTTGCCATTTCACGAATACAGTAGACTGGCCTTCCTGATGTGGATGAATCACAGAGATAGCCTTTTGGATCAATTATAAGAGTTTCACTTTGCATGGAGTTACCTCCCTTACATGAAAGACACAGAGTGATGTCCCTTTTATCTTTTCTCAATTCTCAGCATCATTCCATCCTGAGGCTTTGGTTCAAAGGCATTTGTCTCTGGAGGTATCTGGAAGAGAGAAAGACAACCCTTGAATTACAACCCTGTCAACAGTTTCCCTTCAGAGCAGCATCAAGTCTCAGTAACTGCACCGGCAGCCATGGATGGGTGGTGCATCTCTTCTGAAAGATTTGCTTCATTTGTCATCATTGAAACACTCCCCTACAAAACATGGTGTTTCAGCAATAATCCATCCCTATCAGCACGGCAGACCCATAAGGTGGTTGAACAGATCATGGATGTGTTATCACTAAAGGAAGATGGTGAGGACATACTTTGTGACATGACTTTGCACAATGCATACACTTTTACATGTATACCATCAGCCGAAGGCACATCAACATCCTTGGCCACAGGGTCAGGTACTGAAGCATTTGGTTCTCACATTTGATATGAGCATGCTGAGCCAATGAGATGAGATTCTAAACTTGGACCTTCTCCCCCAAGATCAGTCACCCTCTCCCCAGAGGTCAGACATCTTCTCCCCCAAGGCATGTACCCTCTCCCTTAAGATCAAACATCTTCTCCACCAAGGTCAGACATCCTTTCCCCTAAGGTCAGACATCATCTACCCCAAGGTCAGACACCCTCTCCCCCCAAGGTCAGACACCCTCTCCCTTAAGGTCAGACATCCTCTACCCTAAGGTCAGACATAATCTCCCCCAAGGCCAGACACCCTTTCCCCTGAGGTCAGACATCCTCTCCCCCAAGACTTGTACCCTCTCCCCCAAGGTCAGACACCCTCTCCCTTAAGGTCAGACATCCTCTACCCCAAGGTCAGACATAATCTCCCCAAGGCCAGACACACCCTCTCCCCTGAGGTCAGACATCCTCTCCCCAAGGCCAGACCTCTCCCCAAGGTCAGACACCCTCTCCCCAAGGCCAGACACCCTCTCCCCCAAGGCCAGACACCCTCTCCCCCAAGGCCAGACACCCTCTCCCGAAAGGTCAGACACCCTCTCCCCCAAGGCCAGACACTATCTCCCCCAGGGCTAGACACCTCCCCAAGGACAGCCACCTTGTCCTCACAAAACAAATATGTTTGAGATGACAATGGGTCCCCATCAGTAACCAGTCATTCTGAACTGGAAACGCCTCACATGTGTCACAAATGTGTCAGATCAGTGTAAAGATTGGTTCAAGATTGGTTCAAGCCTGGTATCAACAGGGCTTCTACCTTTGTTTCTGGACCGGTGACAAAACGATACTTCTGAAGAATTCCTGCTATAGCCATCTTGACAGTCAGGTGGGCAAACCTCATCCCAATGCAGTTTCTTGGACCCGCACCGAACGGCAGGTACACATAGTTGTAATTGTCTGGGCGATTTTCTGGGCGGAACCTATAAATGAAATAATAATGATAATAATATGCCGGACGAACCCTGTCTGCTCCATATCATTTTTAATCTGTAAAACATAATAATAATGCAAGATTCAGAAAAAGCATGCTACATATGCAGACCTCGCCTTTGAAATGTCTCGCTTGCATCCAAAGTACACTGTTGTCAGGCTCCCCATTGTTCTCGGTGCCCTTGGTTTGGTACCTCCTGATCTCTTGGCGCAGATCAGGAGAGTGCCCAGGTTCTCCAACGGGAGCACAGCCCTTCTGACAATCTGTGTAATGCAGAAGGCTGCAGTGTTGGGGAGCCTTCATATTCTCCAGAAAGTTCTGGGTGGGTTTGACTAGGCAGCGATTCCTGGGAGAAGTCCCTTTCGCTGCCTGGGCTGTGTGTAGAGGGGGCAAGGGCCCTGAGCTGATGATGAGCCTTACCAGCCTGACTGTGCTAGAATCACCCAAACACTCCCTGCTACTATTTGTAATCAGTAAAATAATAATAATGGGGTAGTAGTAGCAGCAATAGGAGCTGTAGGTAAATAGGTAATAGTAGTAGTAGCAGCAGCAAAAGGAGCTGTTAGTAAATAGGTAATAGTAGCAGTAGCAGCAATAGGAGCTGTCAGTAAATAGGTAATAGTAGTAGTAGCAGCAATAGGAGCTGTCAGTAAACAGGTAATAGTAGTAGTGGTAGCAGCAATAGGAGCTGTTAGTAAATAGGTAATAGTAGTAGTGGCAGCAATAGGAGCTGTCAGTAAATAGGTAATAGTAGTAGTGGCAGCAGCAATAGGAGCTGTCAGTAAATAGGTAATAGTAGCAGTAGCAGCAATAGGAGCTGTTAGTAAATAGGTAATAGTAGTAGTGGCAGCAATAGGAGCTGTCAGTAAATAGGTAATAGTAGTAGCAGCAGCAATAGGAGCTGTTAGTAAATAGGTAATAGTAGTAGTAGCAGCAATAGAAGCTGTCAGTAAATAGGTAATAGTAGTAGTAGCAGCAGCAATAGGAGCTGTTAGTAAATAGGTAATAGTAGTAGTAGCAGCAGCAATAGGAGCTGTTAGTAAATAGGTAATAGTAGTAGTAGCAGCAGCAATAGGAGCTGTTAGTAAATAGGTAATAGTAGTAGTAGCAGCAATAGGAGCTGTCAGTAAATAGGTAATAGTAGTAGTGGCAGCAGCAATAGGAGCTGTTAGTAAATAGGTAATAGTAGCAGTAGCAGCAATAGGAGCTGTCAGTAAATAGGTAATAGTAGTAGTGGCAGCAATAGGAGCTGTTAGTAAATAGGTAATAGTAGTAGTAGCAGCAGCAATAGAAGCTGTCAGTAAATAGGTAATAGTAGTAGTAGAAGCAGCAATAGGAGCTGTTAGTAAATAGGTAATAGTAGTAGTAGCAGCAGCAATAGGAGCTGTTAGTAAATAGGTAATAGTAGTAGTAGCAGCAGCAATAGGGCTGTTAAAATGGGTAATAGTAGCAGTAGCAGCAATAGGAGCCTGTCAGTAAATAGGTAATAGTAGTAGTAGCAGCAGCAATAGGAGCTGTTAGTAAATAGGTAATAGTAGCAGTAGCAGCAATAGGAGCTGTCAGTAAATAGGTAATAGTAGCAGTAGCAGCAATAGGAGCTGTTAGTAAATAGGTAATAGTAGTAGTGGCAGCAGCAATAGGAGCTGTTAGTAAATAGGTAATAGTAGTAGTGGCAGCAATAGGAACTGTTAGTAAATAGGTAATAGTAGTAGTGGCAGCAATAGGAGCTGTTAGTAAATAGGTAATAGTAGTAGTAGCAGCAGCAATAGGAGCTGTCAGTAAATAGGTAATAGTAGTAGTAGCAGCAGCAATAGGAGCTGTCAGTAAATAGGTAATAGTAGTAGTAGCAGCAATAGGAGCTGTTAGTAAATAGGTAATAGTAGTAGTGGCAGCAATAGGAGCTGTTAGTAAATAGGTAATAGTAGTAGTAGCAGCAGCAATAGGAGCTGTTAGTAAACAGGGTAATAGTAGCAGTAGCAGCAATAAGAGCTGTTAGTAAACAGGTAATAGTAGTAGTAGCAGCAGCAATGGGAGCTGTCAGTAAACAGGTAATAGTAGTAGCAGCAGCAGCAATAGGGCCGTTAGCAACAGGCAATAGGTAGTAGTAGTAGCAGCAATAGGAGCTGTTAGTAAATAGGTAATAGTAGTAGTGGCAGCAATAGGAGCTGTTAGTAAATAGGTAATAGTAGTAGTAGCAGCAGCAATAGGAGCTGTTAGTAAATAGGTAATAGTAGCAGTAGCAGCAATAGGAGCTGTTAGTAAATAGGTAATAGTAGTAGTAGCAGCAGCAATAGGAGCTGTCAGTAAATAGGTAATAGTAGTAGCAGCAGCAATAGGAGCTGTCAGTAAATAGCTAATAGTAGTAGTAGCAGCAGCAATAGGAGCTGTCAGTAAATAGGTAATAGTAGTAGTAGCAGCAATAGGAGCTGTTAGTAAAAGGTAATAGTAGTAGTAGCAGCAGCAATAGGAGCTGTTAGTAAATAGGTAATAGTAGTAGTAGCAGCAGCAATAGGAGCTGTTAGTAAATAGGTAATAGTAGCAGTAGCAGCAATAGGAGCTGTTAGTAAATAGGTAATAGTAGTAGTAGCAGCAATAGGAGCTGTTAGTAAAAAGGTAATAGTAGTAGTAGCAGCAGCAATAGGAGCTGTTAGTAAATAGGTAATAGTAGTAGTGGCAGCAATAGGAGCTGTAAGTAAATAGGTAATAGTAGCAGTAGCAGCAATAGGAGCTGTAAGTAAATCGGTAATAGTAGTAGTGGCAGCAATAGGAGCTGTTAGTAAATAGGTAATAGTAGTAGTGGCAGCAGCAATAGGAGCTGTCAGTAAATAGGTAATAGTAGCAGCAGCAGCAATAGGAGCTGTAAGTAAATAGCTAATAGTAGTAGTAGCAGCAGCAATAGGAGCTGTCAGTAAATAGGTAATAGTAGTAGTAGCAGCAATAGGAGCTGTTAGTAAAAAGGTAATAGTAGTAGTAGCAGCAGCAATAGGAGCTGTTAGTAAATAGGTAATAGTAGTAGTAGCAGCAGCAATAGGAGCTGTTAGTAAATAGGTAATAGTAGTAGCAGCAGCAGCAATAGGAGCTGTTAGTAAATAGGTAATAGTAGTAGTAGCAGCAATAGGAGCTGTTAGTAAAAAGGTAATAGTAGTAGTAGCAGCAGCAATAGGAGCTGTTAGTAAATAGGTAATAGTAGTAGTAGCAGCAGCAATAGGAACTGTTAGTAAATAGGTAATAGTAGTAGTAGCAGCAGCAATAGGAACTGTTAGTAAATAGGTAATAGTAGCAGTAGCAGCAATAGGAGCTGTTAGTAAAAAGGTAATAGTAGTAGTAGCAGCAATAGAGCCGTTAGTAAACAGGTAATAGTAGCAGTAGCAGCAATAGGAGCCGTCAGTAACAGGTAATAGTAGCAGCAGCTTAAGCAATAGGAGCCTGTTAGCAAAAAGGTAATAGTAGTAGCAGCAGCAGCCAGGAGCTGTTAGTAAACAGGTAATAGTAGTAGCAGCAGCAGCAACAGGAGCCGTTAGTAAACAGGTAATAGCAGCAGCAGCAGCAATAGGAGCTGGGTCAGCAACAGGCAATAGTAGAAGTGGTAGAAGCAAGCAGCAATAGGAGCCGTTAGCAACAGGTAATAGTAGTAGTGGCAGCAGCAACAGGAGCCGTCAGTAAACAGGTAATAGCAGCAGCAGCAGCAACAGGAGCTGTAAGTAAACAGCTAATAGTAGTAGTAGCTAACAAGGGAGCTGTCAGTAAATGGGTAATAGCAGCAGCAGCAGCAAACAGGAGCCGTAAGTAAACAGGCTAATAGTAGTAGTGGCAGCGCAATAGGAGCCGTTAGTAACAGGTAATAGTGTTGTTGCAGCAACAGAAGCCGTCAGCAACAGGTAATAGTAGTAGTGGCAGCAGTAATAGGAGCTGTTAGTATATAGGTAATAGTAGTAGCAGTAATGCAGCAACAGGAGCCGTTAGCAACAGGTAATAGTAGTAGCAGCGGTTAACAGAAGCCGTCAGTAACAGGTAATAGCAGCAGCAGCAAGCAATAGGAGCCGTCAGCAACAGGTAATAGTAAGTAGTGGCAGTGGCAGCAATAGGAGCTGTTAGCATACAGGTAATAGTAGTAGCAGCAGCAGCAATAGGAGCCGTCAGTAAAACAGGTAATAGTAGTAGTAGCAGCAGCAACAGGAGCTGCTAGGCAACAGGTAATAGTAGTAGTAGCAGCAACATGAGCTGTTAGCAACAGGTAATAGTAGTAGCAGCGTTAGCAGCAAGGAGCTGTAAGTAGCAACAGGTAACAGTAGTAGTAGCAGCAGCAAAAGGAGCTGTTAGTAAATAGGTAATAGTAGCAGTAGCAGTAATAGGAGCTGTTAGTAAATAGGTAATAGTAGCAGTAGCAGCAATAGGAGCTGTCAGTAAATAGGTAATAGTAGTAGTGGCAGCAGCAATAGGAGCTGTTAGTATATAGGTAATAGTAGTAGTAGCAGCAGCAATAGGAGCTGTCAGTAAATAGGTAATAGTAGTAGTAGCAGCTAAAGTGGTTCTGGTATTTGCAACAGCTGTAGCTAAACTGGTTGTGGTAGTAGTAGCAGCTTCCGAAGTAGTTGTAGTGGTATTGAACGTGATACCAACATTCAACAATGATATCCACCTCCCTGGTAACCAAAACAATGAGAGCTTATATACCAAGGATGATATCTCATTCATAATTCTGAGCAAAACCATCTATATCCTGGTGTATACAAGGGGCGCAACTTTTTAGCAATATTCCAGCAACTCTTCAGACAGGGTTATCATACATTTGACCACTCTCAACTGACAACAATGATAAACTATTTTACCTCTCTGGGTTGTAGGTCTCCGGATCAGGCCAGTATTCAGGGTCTTTGTGTATGGCTCCAACAGGAATATGGATTTCAATTCCCTTTTTGATAAGGATGCCATTAATCGTGATGTCCTCTTCGGCAACTCTGGACATTCTACAATGGTCAAGTGTACAGGATAAGTCAAGATATGGGATTAGCATAATATGAATTAAACCATACCAAAGCAGCATAATAAGTCTTAAACCACCTGGGTGCAGGATAATAAGTCTTAAACCACCTGGGAGCAGGATAATTAGTCTTAAACCACCTGGGAGCAGGATAATTAGTCTTAAACCACCTGGGTGCAGGATAATAAGTCTTAAACCACCTGGGTGCAGGATAATAAGTCTTAAACCACCTGGGAGCAGGATAATAAGTCTTAAACCACCTGGGAGCAGGATAATTAGTCTTAAACCACCTGGGTGCAGGATAATAAGTTTTAAACCACATTGGAGCAGGATAATAAGTCTTAAACCACCTGGGTGCAGGATAATAAGTCTTAAACCACCTGGGAGCAGGATAATAAGTCTTAAACCACATGGGAGCATGATAATAAGTCTTAAACCACCTGGGTGCAGGATAATAAGTTTTAAACCACATTGGAGCAGGATAATAAGTCTTAAACCACCTGGGTGCAGGATAATAAGTCTTAAACCACCTGGGTGCAGGATAATAAGTCTTAAACCACATGGGAGCAGGATAATAAGTCTTAAACCACCTGGGTGCAGGATAATTAGTCTTAAACCACCTGGGTGCAGGATAATAAGTTTTAAACCACCTGGGAGCAGGATAATAAGTCTTAAACCACCTGGGAGCAGGATAATAAGTCTTAAACCACCTGGGTGCAGGATAATAAGTCTTAAACCACCTGGGAGCAGGATAATAAGTCTTAAACCACCTGGGAGCAGGATAATTAGTCTTAAACCACCTGGGTGCAGGATAATTAGTCTTAAACCACCTGGGAGCAGGATAATAAGTCTTAAACCACCTGGGAGCAGGATAATAAGTCTTAAACCACTTGGGAGAAGGATAATAAGTCTTAAACCACCTGGGTGCAGGATAATAAGTCTTAAACCACCTGGGTGCAGGATAATAAGTCTTAAACCACATGGGAGCATGATAATAAGTCTTAAACCACATTGGAGCATGATAATAAGGCTTAAACCACATGGGGACAGCATAATAAGTCTTAAACCACGTGGGAGCAGCATAATAAGGCTTAAACCAAATGGAGACAGCATATTAAGTCTTAAACCACATGGGAGTAGGATAATAAGTCTTAAACCATATGGGAGTAGGATAATAAGTCTTAAACCATATAGGGGCAGCATAATAAGTCTTTAACCATATGGACATAGCATAATAAGATTTAAACCATATGGCGGCAGCATAATAAGACTTAAACCATATGGAGGCAGCATAATAAGATTTAAACCACATGGAGGCAGCATAATAAGTCTTAACCCATATGGAGGCAGCATAATAAGATTTAAACCACATGGAGGCAGCATAATAAGACTTAACCCATATGGAGGCAGCATAATAAGATTTAAACCACATGGAGGCAGCATAATAAGATTTAAACCATTCCTGTGACTACTGATAATGGTAGATACCTTGTTGCTGGTGGGAAGAGACGCAGACTTTCCAGGTAGGCACAGTCCAGGTATTCTAATCTTGGCATGGTCTCATAACTTGGGGGTTGCTGTAATGGGATTAAAATAACTTAAACAAACAAACTTCGCAGCTATTTTCAACTTCTGATTGGAATTCTGACAGTATAGAGCCGGGTTTCAGCTCCATCAAACTTTCAGATTCAAGTAAGATGTTGAAAATGCTGTGATATGTATACAAAACAGAAAACTCAAACTCCAAATATGATCCCCAAAACATTAATGTTACCCTGCATACTACATACCAGCTGTTTCATTATCTTGTTTAAGTGCTGCCTTATAATCAAGTTCTTAATTTGAATGTTTAGCTCTCTGTGTTTTGTAATTCTAAAACAAACAATATTACAACAACAACAAAAACAGGATCAAGTAACGTCTACTAGAGGGTTTTAGATTTGATGTTACACCGGACTGACTAAGTTTGGTTTTACACCGCTTTTAGCAATATTCCAGCAACATCACAGCTGGGGACACCAGAAATGGGCTTCACACATTGTGCCCATGTGGGGATTTGAACCCGGGTTTTCGGGGTGACGAGCCAACGCTTTAACCATTAGGCTACCCCACCGCCCCTTGATGTTATAAAAGCAGTAAGGTTAGATGGATGGGTAGATGTGATCTCAGACCAGAAATCCTGCAGTTTAGAATCCTACTCATAAGAGAGGCTACCATTACATAATGCTTACCCCATTGAGAACTCGGTCGATCTCTTCTATGAGTTTGTCTTGACAGTCCTGATTGGTCGCTAGGTTGTAGGCGAAATATGCCAGAGTCAGGTTTGTAGTTTCATAGCCAGCAAAAAGAAACAGGATTGCATTGGCCAGAATCTCATCATTTGTCATCCCTAAAGAACAGAAATATTGCAAGATCATCGTACATTATCTTGTTGCACTCCAACAAGGGTCTGATTGTAAACACGATGGAGAAGGTAAAACAACCTGAGAGAAAAGGTAAAACAACAAGACAGAGAAGGTAAAACAACATGATAGAGAAGGTAAAACTACAACATAGAGAAGGTAAAACAACATAGAGAAGGTAAAAAAACATGATAGAGAAGGTAAAACAAAAAGATAGAGAAGGTAAAACAACATGATAGAGAAGGTAAAACAACAAGATAGAGAAGGTAAAACAACATGATAGAGAAGGTAAAACTACAACATAGAGAAGGTAAAACAACAACACAGAGAAGGTAAAACAACATGAAGGTGAAGGTAAAACAACATGATAGAGAAGGTACAACATGGTAGAGAAGGAAAAACAACATGATAGAGAAGGTAAAACAACAAGATAGAGAAGGTAAAACAACAAGATAGAGAAGGTAAAACAACAAGATAGAGAAGGTAAAACAACATGATAGAGAAGGTAAAACAACATGATAGAGAAGGTAAAACAACATGATAGAGAAGGTAAAACAACATGATAGAAGGTAAAACAACATGATAGAGAAGGTAAAACAACATGATAGAGAAGGTAAAACAACATGATAGAGAAGGTAAAACAACAAGATAGAGAAGGTAAAACAACATGATAGAGAAGGTAAAACAACAAGGTAGAGAAGGTAAAAGTAGAGAAGGTAAAACAACAAGGTAGAGAAGGTAAAGTAGAGAAGGTAAAACAACAAGGTAGAGAAGGTAAAACAACAAGGTAGAGAAGGTAAAACAACAAGATAGAGAAGGTAAAACAACATGATAGAGAAGGTAAAACAACAAGATAGAGAAGGTAAAACAACAAGGTAGAGAAGGTAAAACAACATGATAGAGAAGGTAAAACAACAAGATAGAGAAGGTAAAACAACATGATAGAGAAGGTAAAACAACATGATGGCCAAAACTTCTACCCAACCAAGAGTGTTGACAATTGCAGGAGAACCCAAAGAGAAGAGCTTTAAATCACTTATATATCTGTCTTAATTCCCGAAATTTGATGAAATCTATATTGAGATTTTGATTCATTATACTGAGACGCTAACACATATGTGCTTGAAATGGTTCACAATCAGCCAAGTCTGTAGACTAACAACTAGTCTCTGAAATGAACATATTTTACTGAAAAAAGTTCATAGTAAAAAAAAAATATATAATGAAAAGGAGCCCTGAGACTTTCTTCATTTCCTGAAGCTGAGGAAATCTAGACTTGCCACATTTTCTAGACTTGTGTGGGCTTTCTTGGATATATTTGCTTCAGGGTCTGTACGAGAGACTACCAAGTCTGCAACAGATGTCTTTAATCTTCACTGATTATTCACTGGAACAGACATCTGGTCATCTTAACAATCTATTCTGTATTCACCTCTGTATTCAAAATCTTGACAACTATTCACCAGTTCATCTGAAAGTCTCCAATAGCTTCCCGCCTACTCAAGACCACCAGAATTTCCTCTCAACCACATAGCTCACCTCTCCTCAGTGACTTGTCGAGGTCCACGTAGGAGTCAGAGTCCTTCTCCTCCTGAGCCACCTCCAGCTTGTGGGAGTTGAGCATCAGTTGCAGGAAGTCCCGCTGACTCTGGTGGAGAGTGAGTGAGTGAGTTTGATATGGAAGAGAGTAGGTGAGTTATACAGAAGACAATGAGTGGGTTAAACCTGATTTTAGTGTTACTTTCACAAGTGAAAATGGATGATTTTTCAATGTTATGGTCGCCGCCATACAGCTGGAACATTGCTGAGTGCGGCGTTACACAGCAAACCAATGAATGTCATAGTACATTTCAACATCTTTAAACAAATCAGTTGTTCGAGCATTTAGTTAGTCATCAAGTCTTACAATGTTAAGTTCTCTTCTCTCTGAAATGGTCTGGAGCACAGCCTTTGTGAAGAATTGTCGACAGGAAGCATCAACCATCCTGAAACCAACAGCTTCCAACCATTTGCCCAGGAAGGGAAACAAGGCTGCAACAAGAAAGTGTTCCTTCCACAGCAGCAGAACAATGTCTGTAGGCTTCAAGGAAGCGAGTGATCCTGTGCATTTATTCAGTCATTCTTCACCATTGTAAATTTTTTAGTTAAAAATTGCTAGTCCTATTGGGTCAACAGAAGAAGACATACATTCATAAACACCAACCACCCCTACTCCCGAAACTTACTACAAAAGATAAAAACGACTATTGCTTTTTTTCCTCTTTGTGTCATCTTCTGAGCGTTGAGTATAAAAGCATTTTCAGGGTCTGCCTGACAGTCAGCTTCAATACCAAACGCGGTGGAGGCGATGACATCCAGGGAATACAGTCCAAACAAGCTGGAAGAAAACACAGTCAGATGTATCATGGGACCCTCTATTATCGCGGTAGTTAATGTTGTCGGCATCGGGATTATGAACGGCTACTGACATTTAGCATTTTATATATATTTTCAGTTGACTCATGTTTAATCTTCATTTCTGTCACAAATAATGTGTAACATAGTTGCAACTCGTTTAATACCATTGCGGCAATTCCGATTGTCTCGTTTGACCCGGAAATTGAAGCAACTCTCTATTATCGCGGTATTGCTATTTTCTTACTATGGCATGCGGTACAAGCAGATGACACTGTGAAACGTTTACTAAGACAAGTAACGAATCTAAATAGTTTGATCATTCAAAGATATTTAGGATTTTCATTCACATTAGTAATATCATCATGTTTTTAACCCAAACATCTGAAACTTCTTTTCATCTGGATACAAGGTAACAATAACGTAACAAAATATGGTTTTTCCGGCTTAAAACGTACCATACAAGTTGCTGCCGTGTGCAGAGTGAAGTTGCATAATACGTCACTTCCTGTTATATTTGTAGCACGGAAAATATGCAAATGACCTTATAGTTGTCGCAGGATTGCTCTTGATGAAGTAAGTTTTGATTCATGCTTGATGTAAGGGCAGTAGGGGTCATACAAGTTTCAAAATGTTCAAGAACTTACTGAAAAGATGAATGCTTTAATATTTCTGCGATTACACATAACATTCCAATGAAATAAATGACTTTTTCAACAGCGATGGATATATTTTACGTAATTTGCATATGTAAACAGCCGATGCGGGGCGTGGTGTTTCTGTTTTCCCGATGTTTTCGCGTGCCGCGATAATAGAGTGCCCGCGATAATAGAGAGTCCCAGTATAATACTCTAAGGATGGTGTACAGATCGCTTTGTCAACATCTTTGTAATCACTTCTTCAAAATTATTTTCTACACTTATCCATAAGGGAAAGTTTCATTTCACTTCTTCAAATTAAATTCTCACAGTTGTATAAGCCATTCTTGGTGCAGCTCAAGTGAAACTTACCTATTGACACAAAAGTTTCTGAAATTACAGGTGATAGTCAACTAGGGTGGCTGGGTGAGTGAGTGACTACTACTGAGGCCTTGCACCGAGCATGAACAATGATCCACAGTCACAGGGCAAGATGTTTGATCACCCCATCCCGGTGTAACTGAGGCCTTGCACAGAGCATGAACAATGATCCACAATCTCAGGGCAAGGTGTTTGATCACCCACATTGATGTTACAGAGGCCTTGCACAGAGCATGAACAATGATCCACAATCTCAGAGCAAGATGTTTGATCACCCACACAGTAGTATGGTAGCAGCACATTTCCGAGGTGACGTAACGTGACGCAACCCCGAAAATATGCTGCTACACTGACGTCATACACTTATGACGTCACGACGATAGGTCTCGTGACGTCACGACCTACAAACGAAGGTCGTGACGTCACTTGATGGTGACGCAACCTCGAAAATATACTACCATACTGACGTCGTACACGTATAACGTGTCACGACGATAGGTCTCGTGACGTCAAAATCTACAAACGAAGGTAGTGACGTCACGTGATGGTGACGCAACCTCGAAAATATACTACCACACTGACCTCACGCCCTACAACGACGGTATTGACGTCACGTGGTCATTGAACTGACACAAATAAGGGTAATGGTCGTTTAGTACGTGTTCGTGCATGTACGTGTGTGTGTGTGCTCTCTTCTACCTTTCCACACTCCCACAATTCGCGAATCAGCACCAACTAAATGTGTACGATATCAAAAAAATTTTTTAATACAGATATATACAACATATAACACAATATAATACAATATATACATACAATTTCATACATTTCACAAAATGAGGCGACCTCTCCGGTTGCGCACACGGATACGGCGAGTAGGTGTCTCGCCGTTCCTGTGTACGTCTGCAACCACTGTCACCGTATTTTCTGAGGGGTGACGGTTATGAGAGGCCTCCTCAAAATGAGTGAAAACCCCTCCATTGCCGTCGTTATCGCCGCCGTCCCACGCAACAGCTGCTGGCGTGTTCTTCTTCCTTCTTCATCGTCACCGATGAAGAAGGGGAGGTACCCGATGTCGGGCGGAGAGGAAAGGGGAGGTGTTGTCATCAGATACAAGAGGTCCCTGAGGGCTGAGGGGCTCCATCTTCATCGTCTTCTTCCAACTCCTCTGTTGGTATGCTCCTCACAATAGGGGTAGCCACCCCAAGGTCCTCCCCTTTCACCCCCATCCACACCACTGAGCAATGTTTCTATATTTCATGCTCGACATCACTATCCCCGCGAGTCTGTGTGCCAACATCAGATGTCTTCACGACACACTTAGCACACCTCTCACGGGGATCACCAGTACATCCTCGTCCGCCCAGTCATCTGTCGCAGGTTTAGGTTGTTCCGCTTGACCTTCTTAGCGGGGTGGCATCACGCCATTACATGACCGGCGTGAGTGGCCACTCCCTCCACACTTGTAACACGAGGCCGTCGGACATTGGGGAGACCAGTGACCAGAGTCCCCACACCTATAGCAATGACCATAAGAAGGAGCAGTCGGTGGAGGAGTCGTGGCAGTCGCGGAAGGTGGGGTGGTGATCACGGAGGAAGAGGAGGTCATGTTGAAGGACGGGCAGTTCCTCCTGTAATGCCCACTCTGTTGGCAGATGGTGCACGGCATGGGGCAATCTGTTCCCCAGTGCCCCTGTCCCCCACACCTGTTTCCACACACCGCCAATGGACAGTTCTTAAACACGTGGTCATTCTTCTGGGGACACTTCCAGCAGTATAGCATGGTTGTTGGAGCAGCATCACACATCTTGCTTAAATCCATGGTTGGTAGTAGTAGTAGTAGTAGTTGTAATAGTCGTGGTAGTAGCAGTAGTAGTAGCGGAGAGCTGGTCAGGAGTACGTCTTACTGTATGGCGAGCTGTAATCAGTATGGTTTGAGAGTGGTCAAGCGAATGGTCATATACACCCCAGAGGGTAAATGACCGTGTCCGCGATGTAGACATGACCATACACGTCCGACAAGCGCAGCAGGAAGACGAAAATCGCCTCTATTATCTTACGCACCATATGTCCACGGTTTATCGTATATTGCTGCTCATGGGTCTAACCACTCCTTATTACGCAATCGTTTCGACCACCACATGTGCCGAAGCCTTCGAAAATAGCCCATACGTGCATCGTTAATCGGTCTAACAGCTCTAATCGGTCCCCTATTATACGCAATCGTGAGTGTCCACCCCGTTGTCTCTACACCCCTTCTCCCTCAAAAATATTCCCCCACGTGCGTCGTTTATCGGTCTAGCCGCTCTAATCGCCCCCTATTATACACAACCGCGAGTACCCACCCCCGTCGCCGCTACACCCTCTCCTTCGAAAATAATCCCCTTACGTACATCGTTAATCGGTCTAGCTGCTCTAATCGTCCCTGTCATACGCAATCGGTAGTGTCCACCCCCCTTCGTCTCTACACCCTCTCCTTCGAAAATAACCCCTTACGTACATCGTTAATTGGCCTAGCTGCTCCAATCATCCCCTATTATACATGACCGCTAGTGTCCACCCCCGTCGCCTCTACACACTTTCCTTCAAAAATAACCCTCACGCATTATAGGTTAATCGACCTAACCGCTCTAATCATCCCCTTATTATACACAGTCGTGAGTGTCCACCTCGCCGTCTCTACACATTTTTCCCTTCACATAGACTTACCTACCGCCTCAAATAGCCTCTACATACATCGCCAACAACAGGTTTAACTGCCCTAAGTGTCTCTAATACACAGTCGTGCGTTAATCGTCGCCATCGTCTCGCCAGTTTTTCCCAAATAAACTCGCGTAATATCGCGAAAAATACACACGCCATTTCTCTCTGCCTGTGTCTTCCATTGAGTGCGTTGACGATATAAACCTTTCAATCACGGTCGTAAAGCAAACAGCCTTCTCTCGCTATCGGCCAAAATCACAAAATGGCGCTGCTTGACAACATTCTCATCATGGTTGACGAGGGAAGACCCCGTGAACGAGCTAGCAAGAAATACGAACATGTCTCTTATAGAACATTCCGAGGATGACATGCTTATATATTTTTCGTCGGATGATGAGAAATACCAACGCCTCATCAGTGACACATGCCGACAGTCTGGGACAGGGCAACCTTTGCGACAACACGACGATGACATCATCGAGGTCGTAGAGGAAGGGTTACCGTGTCATTCTCCCCGCAACGACGAACACCACGAGGTTATCGAGGAAGAAAATGGCGAGTATGACTACTCGCCGCAACAAGTTTTTTTCCTCAGAACTTCGTCGGATGGATAGTCAGAGATATGGGGTGTCGAACATCGTGTACCTCTTCGGGTTTTTACAACAATTTCTGGAGAGAGTACAGGGCAGCGTGGATGTGGAAGACAACCTGTCACGCGGGTTCGACTCCCTCGTGGCTCATTTGGGTAACTTCGGAAAGTAAGTGTATAAAAAACAACATAAGCTCTATACATTTACAGTGTGGTAACTAATAATTTTTTAACATTGCGTGTCTTTTCAAAACTGACAAAAGCGCATTCTTGTTGCCATTATATTTTTCTTTTACTTTTTTCCCCCCAGATATACGCCCTCAGGATATCGTCACCCTGTATATTCATCATGACGCCCTCAACGCCCGTCACGCCATACCGTTAGGTCAGATTTGAAGAACTCACGGGTGACATCATATTGGGAGGTATGGAACACGCGTTGCCCAGTCTAACACATCTTTACGTTTGACAGTACCATGACCGTAAGGTTAAACATAGCGAGGAATCCCGCCGTTGTAGGGAGAGGTAATGGTCGATTGACTAAGAAAGAGCTAATCACGCTGGAGGCTTTTACCAGCCGTAAAAACACTAGGGGTGGTTGTCTAACTAAAATAGAGAACAGCGACAATTTATGTCTAGGTCGGGCTATTGCTGTAGCCCTCTATTTTCTAA